CGATGGCGTCGGCTGGGCCTCGGCACGCTGGGCAGCACTCCAGGCCAGCGCCAGATGCGGCGGCACTTGGAGCGCACCACTCGATCGCCACCACTCGATACAAATAAGACATTCCCGGTCGTCACCGCCGGGGACTACGACACAGGGCGCAGCGGGCACGGCAGCCGGCACAGGTGGATCAGTGGAGGTTTCTCCCCAGCCCGCGCGGCCCGCCGCCGCTGCTCGCCCCGTTGTCGCAAAAGCTCTAGTGCAAGATGGGCGTTCTGGAGCTCGTCGAGCTGCCGCCGTTGCGCGCGGTCGAGAGCGGCGCCAACCGCGTTCGCATCGGCCGCCACATGACATGCACGCGTCGCGGCCAGCGAACCACATGGCCACTCCCTTACGGCTGGACCACGTCGATGGGGACGCGCTGGCTGAATAGAGCCAGGTCGTTGGGAGACTCCAGCACTGGCGGCGATGCTGCTAACGGCGAGGACTGCGGCGGCCACATGGAGCTCGATCCACACGGCGCGCTGACGCCGAGGGCTGAGACAGAGGGCACGCAAGCCCAGCTCGGCAACTGCCCGTCGACAAGCGGGGTCGCAGGCACAGCGACACGGGACGTTGATGTCGCTCACCCAGTCGCGCCCGCGCTGCTGCCCCAGCGAGAAGGCACCGGGCACTCGGGCCCAGCGAGGCGGCGTCGGCGGCGGCGGCGCTGCCGATGCTGCTGGAGCCGAGGGCGCTGCAGGCGCAGTAGGGGCTGCGCCCCGCCCCTGCCGCGCGGGCCGGCAGCGCGCATGCCCGACCCGCTGGCCGAGCAGAGTCGCGCCGCGCGCGGCGCATGAAGTCGCCCATCTCTTGGCTCAGTCACCGTAGATCTGAAACATAGGGAGGCCCCCGCCCAGCTCGACCAATGGCTGCGGCCCACCAGCTGCCACGCGCCGTCGGATGAGGCACTCGGCGCTGCCGCCGGCGCTGGCCGCGTAGATGCCGATGCTAGAGTTGGTCGTCCGCCGCTCCAAAGATAGGCGCTCTGCACGGCGGCGGCGCTGCTAAAGCTGGGTCGATAAAGAGACGGGCGCGCCCATGCTGGCGGCGCCTGGGGCAGTCGCGCACGAGGTGGTCTCCGGGACAACACTCGCGGCACTTGATAAGTACCCCGCCTGGACCAGGCGGGTTGCCTCTGCGGCCAAAGCCCACCCCACCGGCCACGCGCCTACCCTCCCCCCCTCTCAACCTGCCCCCACCCCAGGTGTCGTTCTGGGACACGTCGGCCAGGAAGGCTCAGTGGCCCTTACCGCAGCCCTCGCCCTCGCGCACGGCGGCCCCCCGGACGCGGCGCGCAGGCCAGTCGCCGCCGAAACGGCGCCATCGGGTTTCGTCGCGCTCGCGAGCCCACACGAGGCGCGCACCGCGCAATTCCGTCGGAACTTCGCGCAGCGGGGGGATCGTCGGCAGCAGCAAATTCGCCGAACAAGCTGAAGGCGTCAGAGTCGGCGCCTGCGTCAATACCCGCCGCCGGGCGCGCCACCTGCGCTGATGGCGCCGCGCAGGGGTCGGCATCGACTGCGGCCGCGGGCGGGCCCGGCGCCGCTCCCAGGGCCGCATGCCCCATACCATCCCGGCCGCGCACCCGCGAAGAACATCTAGCGTCGAGACGCGCGCACGGCCGCGGCGAGATTGCCGAGAGAGTCCTCGATCTCACGCCCAAAACTGCGCAGCTGGCTCGTCATGTCGGCCAGCTGCTAAGAATTCGCAAGGTGGGCCACGTTGTCGCGGTGCAGGACCATCGCCTGCTGCCACGCTCGATATACCAATCGCGCGCGGCAACAGATAACAGAGACCCTCGAAACCGATCGGGAATTGACCGGCTTGGTGCGCCCTGTCGCGGAGGATGTCGAACCTGGCGAGCTGGTTGCCGACGCGCTCTTGCGGCCAACAGAGCCGATACCGCCCGCGCGCTGCTTCCCCCCCTAGCTGGCCCCACCGTTCGGCAAGGCTGCGCATGGGGAAGGTCATAGGCGGAAATGGGTCGCTGCATATAACCTCCCTGGATCAGGACAGCGGGCGGCCATTCGCACACGCACTCGCGTGCCATGGCGAGGCGCGGCGAGACGTAGACCGCCTGGCGAAACTCGTCGAGCTCGCAGTTCGCCGCTGATCAGATCACGTCTTCCCGCACACAACGTTGGACAGGCTCGCGAGCTTGCTGCTCGGGCCCGCAGGTGCGGAGGCGTCGCACGTTGCCGCCAGAACCGCCACCAGCGTCCACACGGGCGGTGCAACTGGTGGCTGCGATCATGCCCACTCCGATGGATTTTCTTCTGGAGTGGAGCCCCTGGAATCTTGGGATCCACCACCAGCGACGGAATTCATGTAGAATACCTCGGAGGCGTTGTGGGCGTCGGTCCCGCGCATGCTCTTCCTCGACAGCGAATTGGGTCTTTTTTCTGTCGCATGGTGGTGAGAAGGCGAACGGCACTCGGAGCTCCCCACAACATTGTTGCGGGAGTACTCGTCGCGCGCGGGCACGACAATCAAATAGAGTCCGCATCGGAGTCAAAGTCATCCAGGCAGCAGGGGGTGCGCAAATAATGTGGACGGTCAGGTTCCAGGGTATTAAGAACGGGTAGTCGACGGACCCCCCATCGATTGTTCGCTTCTACCTGCCTGCGCCACCCCCAGCGTCTGCGACATAGCCGCAGACAGCTCGGGGCTCTTCGCCAACACCGTTGCTGTGAACGTCGGATCAGTCGACTGAGGCGGATGAAATGGCGGCATGGTGTCCGTTGCCTCTTTCCCTCTGGACTCCTGCAACATAGTCGCCAGTAGCCCAGAATCCTCTGCCAATTCCAGCGACGTGATCGTTGTTTCGATTAACTGCTTGATGTCGGCGGTCACACCCACCCGCGGGTGCCGTGATGGGGTCGGGTCAGCCCGAACATAGTTCGGGCCAGCCCAGAGGGAAGCGCGGGATGGGTGGACGCGCGGTCCTTGATGTCGATGTCCTGGTAACAGTGGTTGTGCTCGTAAACCAAGGTCGAACCTGGCGGCGGGGCGGCAACGGCACCGCCAGCCGCGGGTGGGAGGACCTGCGGGCTGTCAGTGCGGCAGGGGAAGTAAGACGATGAACTTGCAGAGGTCAAAGATCATCACGTCGTTGAGCAAGGCGGTGTCCTGAAGGAGCCAGCGCGGTCGAGGCAAGGCGGCGAGCAGGCGCCATGGCGTCGCGTGGAAGGAAGCCGAAGCTCCGCTACCAACTAAAAGTAAAGGATGAACGTGGCAAGGCGTACTTCTCCGTACGCGGTAAACGAAAGAGTCAGACGATGCGTCACGCGATATAAACACGGGCACGATTTGCTACCCGATTGTGGCCCCGAGCAAAAACAGCAGAGGACAAGGGAGAACATTAAGCCATGTGACAAGAGGAGCAATCTACAACGGTCCCGTCCGAGGAGGAGGAAGAAGAAGAAAAAGAGGAGCAGGACGCAAAAGACCAGTGCAACCCCAAGAGTCATCAACAATGATTAAATAACTAAACCCTCCCTCCAAGCTCCCTCTTCATAGGCACCTACAAGGATTCATTTCCACTGAAGGAGCTGCCTAATTGGAAAACAACTGTTTTGACACCCGGAAGCACACCAAAGAATTATTCTCGGGACTCCAACGCCACGGATCAACCTGACCGTTGCGTATTAGAGATCCTGAATCGCGCCAGAACGCCATCGCTTGGATTTCACCACCGCGAATCAACGTAACCGCTGCACCCTCACTGAACCTTTCCAAAACAGTATTTCTGGTACGTTAAACATGAGAATCCGTGAAACTCTTGATCTCCTTAACAACCAAAAAGAAGAAACCTGCGCGGCGCTGAGGCGAGAGCCACAATTTGGAAAGAAACGGCCCTGAATCTGCGAAACTCTTGCAATTGAATGCGCGCGGCGCTCAAGCCAAAGTCCCATTTTGAAAGCCACCCGCCCTCCATATGTGAAACTGTTGCCAACGTTGAAACTTCAGGGATACAAATGGTGAAGAAGTCTCAAAGGAAACGCCCCGCCCGCCCTTTCGACCAGGCTCGGGGTGCACCAGAGAGAGGTTACTTATCAGGGAAAAGAATGGAGAAGGAAGGGAAGGACGAGGAAGAGGAGGGGAAGGATGAGGACGAGGAGGGCCACTGTAAACCCAAGACGCAACAATAAAGTTTCAGTATAGCTCCTTCTCCACAGGGCCCTGCAGAATGGTCCCCATATCCTAAGACGAACTGCTTTCTACTACTCGGACCCATGCTTGTGCTTCCTCGAGAGAAAGGGGCGGGCCTCCTCAGAAGGCTCGGAGGCCCCCCGGCCTGAGGACCCGCGCCGCGGTTGGAGGGGGCCGAGGGGCACTGCGGGGCCTCGTCGGCCACGACAGGAAATGGGAGGCGGGGGCGAGCGGGGGGAGGAGGAGGCGGAGCACGCCCGGGGCATGAAAGCCTTGAGCGTGTGCGGGAGCACGGCATGCACCACGGGAACCGCCCGTCCAGAGCACGCCTGGTTTGTCCAACCTCTTCCGAACCCGACGAAGGCTCCCTCCTGGCCCCTCCCACCCCTCCAAGGCAAACGAATCCAGGCGGATGGGGCATGCACCCCGGGAACCGGCCATCCAAAGCACGCCTGGCTTATCCCACCTCTTCCGCACCCGACGAAAGCTCCCTCCTGGCCTCTCCCACCCCTCCAGGGCAAACGAGTCCAGGCGGATGGTGACGCCCCCGCCGCTGTCTTCGACGGGGCTCGGCCGCTACATGATGCGCGCTGGCCCGAGCGAAGGAGCCGCCGCGGAGGAAAGCGAGAGAGAGGAGGAGGACGAGGAGCAACGAGCAAGAGCGAGGAGGGAGCGGAAAAGGAGGAGGGGGAGGAGGAGCAGGAGGAGGAGGAGGAGGTAGACGAGGAGGAGGGTGGATGAGGACGAGGAGGCCGAGGCGGAGGTGGACCAGGAGCAGGGGCAGCGTCCCCCGGCGGCGCCGGCGGCGAAAGGCCCGCCTCCGTCGAAGAAGCAGTTGATCCCGGCCAGGACCACAAAGGGCACCAGGTACGCGGCGCCGCCGGCGCCGTCGGCGGCGGGGCTCGCCTCTCCCGCCGGGCGGGGGCGCGAGCCGCAGGTCGGGCAGGTCTGGGGGGGCCCAAGGGCACACAAAGAAGTAATTACGCACGAATCACAGGATCCCCAGTCTTTCCCCATCTTTTACTGGCTTTCGTCTTCCCCCCCACTGCCCACATTTTCCAATATTTTCTTGGGAATCGACGATTGATTGTGTCTGTGCGTTTTTCCCTCCTGAATGTCCTCGTACGGGCGGACTTTGCAAGAAAAGTAAAAGTAGTCAAAAAATATCCCGGCAAAGCAACCTAACAGCGATGTGTAGAAGCATATCTGAAAGCATTCCCCTTAAGATTCAGATGAAAATCCAGTTGTAGAATTCTGCTGTTCTCGCACTCGTAGTCGCATTCGCGATGACAGTCGCAGCGGCAACGGCAGTCGCAGTCACAGCCTCAGCCTCAGCCTGCCTCAGCCTCAGCCTCAGCCTGCCTCAGCCTCAGCCTGCCTCAGCCTCAGCCTCAGCCTGCTTCAGCCTCAGCCTCAGTCTGCCTTCAGCCTCGGCCTCAGCCTCAGCCTGCCTCAGCCTCAGCCTGCATCAGCCTCAGCCTCAGCCTCAGCCTGCCTCAGCATCAGCCTGCTCAGCCTCAGCCTCAGCCTGCCTCAGCCTCAGCCTCAGTCTGCTTCAGCCTCAGCCTCAGTCTGCCTTCAGCCTCGGCCTCAGCCTCAGCCTGCCTCAGCCTCAGCCTGCCTCGGCCGCAGCATCAGCCTGCCTCAGCATTCAAAATGTGGCCCAGGAATGGAGTTCTGGGAACTAGAAGAACACGAAGTGGCCTACAGTTGGCTCCGGGCATTCAAAATCATGCCCAGGAATGGAGTTCTGGGAACTTGAAGAGCACGAAGTGGCCTACAGTTGGCTCCGGGCATCCAAAATGTGGCCCGGGAATGGAGTTCTGGGAATCGAAGAGCACGAAGTGGCCTACAGTTGGCTCCGGGCATCCAAAATGTGGCCCGGGAATGGAGTTCTGGGAAGTCGAAGAGCACGAAGTGGCCTACAGTTGGCTCCGGGCATCCAAAATGTGGCCCGGGAATGGAGTTCTGGGAGCACCAAGAGCGATTTTGCGAGGATGTCCCAAGCGATTTCGGCTTCGGCGGCAGCCTCCCCGGGTCCCGCCCAGACCCCCCTGAGGAGTCATGATGCTCTCTTTTGAGACCACTAGAAACCTATCAGCAAGAGCTGTTAGGTAAAAAGGCTCCAAACCAGCCAGAAACAATCGCGAAACCGCCCCCAGACTATTTCCTGACCATCTTTGAGCACTCCCCCTGCGTAGAGGGGCATGCCCGACTGAAGCCTGGGGAGCAGGCAGCGAAGCAGCTGCACGCGCGGGCAGCCAGGCGCAGGCCGGCCTGGGCGGCACCCGAGCTGGACCGAGCCGCGGGCAGCCGAGCGCAGGCAGGCCCGGGTCCAGACGACGCAGCGCGAGGCCGGCGACGACGACGACGACGACGACGACGACGACGACGACGACGACGAGCGCTGACGACGACGACGAGCGACGACGACGAGCGACGACGACGTGCGACGACGACGACGACGACGACGACGACGACGACGACGACGAGCGACGACGACGACGACGACGACGACGACGACGACGACGACAACGACGACAATCCGCGCAGCCCAGCGGATCGATCTGCCGCGGAAGCGGAGCGGAGCGCCCGCGGCTCGTCCCGAAGCGTGGATCGGAGGGCTCCGGCTGGCGGGCTCTGGCCGACGCCGGTGAATCGGGCCGAGTCGAAGCGGAATCGCGGCCCCAGCCGGCGACTCGGATCGCATCGAGTTGGAGCGCAGGCGGCCCTGGCAGGGGCAGGGGGAGGGAGGAGCTAAGGGGGCCAGGAGATGTTCGGTCCCACGCCCGCCAAGCACTACGTCTCCGTGTGGGCGCGTGTGCCCCCAGGCCGATCCCGCCCGACTGGGCGCCTGGAGCCAGGTCTCAGAATTATGGGCAGTGTGCTGCTGCATCTTCCGAGGGCCTCTCGCAGCAACTACAGTTTATCGACGTCTCTGCTTCGCATAGCGTTCGTAAAAAGGGCTGCCCCGAAGTCCTGACGGAGCAGCGCGTCTGAGGCAGATGGATCCGCGGGGAGAGGTGCAGTCGTACTTGCAATGGTTGGTGATTGGCTGCTGTGGTCTGCGCGCTGGATACAATCGTTGCGAGTGGATGCAGCTGTGCTGATCTTCCCCGGAATATACTTTAGAGGTCTCGTAGATGGGGTCGGATTATATGGGGTCGAAGGATCGCGCCGCATCGCCGACGCATCGCCGATGCATCGCCGATGCATTGGCGATGCCCTGGCGATGTCGGCGATGCATTGGCGCCGTCGGCGTGGCGAAAGTCGGGCTCCGCATCGAGCCGCATCGTCGATGTATCGCCGATGCGGCGCGATCCTCCGACCCCATCTACTCCGACCCCATCTAGGAGGCCCAGATTCTTGCAGGTATGGGCCCTTACTTGTTTTACTCCGGGATTGGATGGGTAGCCCGATGCTCTTCTTTTTGCTGGCCGTGGCCGTCCGCGGCTGCCCCGTGGGCAGCCCGTGGCCGCCCCGTGTGCTGCCACGCGGCTGCCCTGTGGCGGCCACGTGGCCGCCCCGTGGCCGCTCGCGGAGGCCCAACGCATCTTGCACCGCACAGCCTGCACCACGTGGGCGATTTCCAAAACCCTGGACCCAAAGGCGGTTTCATCTCCTGGGGGCACATCTTCTACTTCCGCCGCCTTCCGCCGAGCTTCCGTTCCGAAGCGCACTACCGCCAATGATCAATCGGCGCAGGAGGCCTCGCGTGGGGCTCTAAACTGCCGTGTGGACGGCGCTGGTATGGGCACTGTGCTTAACCAGGGAAGCCCGACGAAGAGCGAGCAGAGGCAGGTGGGCATCGTGCCCCAGCCCCGCCCCTACGCTGCGAGTTTCCGCCGGCTTCCGCCGGCGCAGGCGGCCTCGTTTTGCCTCCGTCGACCTTCCGCCGCCCTTCCGCCGCCTTCCGCCGAGGAAGCGACGACAGCCTCCTTCGATCCACGAAGGCAGGGCCCTTTCTGGAGCGCCTCGCACAGCTTGCGCCGCACGTCGTGCACCACGTAGAACGCACCGCGGCATTTGCACCACACGGCCTGCACCGTGCAGCCTCCACCCTCGAACTGCAAGTGCGGGAGGATTTCCCCGAACGCCACGCCAGAGCCCCACAGACACCCGAAAGACAGATGGAGCCTTCCGCGCCCGACCCCGGCCGCAGCAGCAGGCGCGAGGTCCAACCGCCCCCCCCCCGATAAAATTCCAAGCGGGTTTCCGCCTGCGGGGGGGGGCCCTGGAGAATTCACTCCTTCGATCAGAACTCAACAGAGGAGAGTGGGTACAGCCTAGTTTGAGTGATTCTGCCTGGGGCGTCCTCCAAATCTGCCTGGCTTGGACCCTGGTTTGGCCTTGTCTGGGACTGGTTTCGCCTGAGACGTCCTCAAAATTTGCCTGGTTTGGCCCTGGCTTCGCCTGGTTAGATCTCGGTTTCGCTTGAGATGTCCTCAAAAATTGTTTGGTTTGGCCTGGGTCGGGCTCAGTGACGCTTAAGACGGCCTCGCAAATTGCCTGGCTTGGCCTGGGCGAAGCGAAAAATCCGCGAAGGTACGCACGATTGAATGACATCCGATAGGATGTAACACACAATAGGATGTAACACGTTTTCGTCGACGCCGACTGGGCAATGAACAAACGTCGTGGTGGGCGTATATAAACCGAAATAAAGGCACGGAGTCATGAACACTCATTGTGGTCCACATGTAACGCGACTGCTCTACAACAAGGCGGGCGTCATGGATCGGCATGGGCATGTATGGCGGCGTTAGGAGAAAACCTCTCCGAGGCTGTAGCTTGCACCACACCCATTGCAAACACATTCCACCAACAGTGTTTGCACTTCAGGTCTCTTATTTGTCTTACTGAGGGATTTGACGGAGCCCGCGAGATTTCGCCACCACATTGCAGCCCGTGGCCGCTTCGTGGCCGCCTCATGCCCCAGGTGGGTCTGGCGAGGTTTCGCCACGTTGTCGCCCGTGGCCGCCTCGGTGCCTCCTCGTGAGCTGGGTGTCCAGCGGGGTTGAGCCACGTTGCCGCCCGTGGCCGCCTCGTGTGCTGGGTGGGTCCGGCGAAGTTTCGCCACGTGCCGCCCGTGGCCGCCTCGCGGCCGCCTCGTGCGCTGGGTGAGTCTGGCGAAGTTTCGCCATCTTGCCGCCCGCGGCCGCCTCGATGCCGCCTCGGGTGGGTCAGGCGAGGTTTCGCCAAATTGCCGCCCGTGGCCGCCACGTATACTGCACCACATAGCTTACACTTCATCGCTTGCACCACATAGCTTACACATCCACAGGGCAAGACCGTACTGCTTGGAGCCCACGTTGGCTAGCCTTTCACATACAATGCGTGCTGCCCGTGCAAGGTCGTGCCCCCCCGCAAAATCGTACTATCACGTGCAATAGCACACACTAAAGCAACGCTGGAATCCCTCACCGCCGCCCCGTCGGCGCCAGACCCACTACTCCAGCAGAAGGTATCCTCACACCACCACCGTGGCTGGCCAGGGCCATTCTGGGCCCTGGCATGGTGCGCACGCCTCTGGCCGAGGCCAGGACGGACTATGCATCACCGTGTGGCCCAGGCAGGGTGGCCCTGGCCAGGCACGGTGGCAGTGCTTCGCTGCCTTCTGCGAACGAGCGCGAGCGAGTCTGAGGTAAGAGCGAGTCTGATGTTCGGCGCTGGACGTCCGCGCCCTGGCGCACGGAGCGCGCCAGGGGCGGCGCCTGAGGCGCTGCCGGGGCACGGCCCAGCGCCGATCCAGTCCGCGCGGACCTCCTGAAGTTTGCGCTCACGCTGGCTGTTCTTGTTCGACCACCTGGGCCCGAGCATGCACCTCGCCCGACACAACCCCGCAGTCTGGGCACGACTGGGGCCGCCTGGCGCGGCGCGCGCGGGGGAAGGCCGCTGGCGTGCAGCGCGCGGCGCCCCGCCCCCCCAGACGCCGTGACGAGCCCCGCGCCCCAGCAGCGACGACGACGACGACGACGACGACGACAAACCGACGACGACAACGACGGGCGGCGGCGGCAGCGGCGGCGGCGGCGAGAACGACGACGACGACGACGACGAAACCGACGATGATGACGAAACCGACGACGACGACGGCGTCGGCGGTGGCGACGGAGGCCCTCGGAGGGAATGCTTGCGCCCGGCCCCCTCCCCGCGCCGAGCCTGGTGGTCGCCGCAGGCCGCCGGGAAGAGCGCCAGGACGTCCTCCGGCGCCCTCGGCCCCTCGCCCTCGCCCCTCGCCCCAGCGCCCTTCGCCCCTCGCCCCCTCGCCCCCTCGCCCCCTCGCCCCATCGCCCCTCGCCCCTCGCTCTCACCCTCGCCTTCGCCCCTCGCCCCTCGCCCCTCGCCTCTCGCCCACGTTGTCCCCTTCGCCTTCGCCGTCGCACTTGCCTTCCCCTCGCCCTCGCTCACCTCCTCGCCCTCGACCTCGCCCCCGCGCCCGCGCCCTCACGCTTTCGTGGGTTTCCGGGGGTTTTCCAGCCTCGGGACACCTTTCCGCAGATGCGCCCCCGCCCTCGCCCCCCCCCGTTTTCGTGCGGTTCTGAAGGTGTCCCAGCCCCGACACGCTTTTCAGCAGATGCGCCTCGCCGAGAGCGCTCCCCAAGTGCCCGAAGCGTCCCGCACAGGCCGCCGGCAACCCGAGCTGTGGCCCAAAAAGCCACGCGACACGCGCAGAGCCCTCACACTCGCCCTCGGCCTCGTCGTCCTGCTGCAGCCGACGCGCATCATGGGGACGCACGGTGAGGATGCAAGGGCCTTGGAGGGCCAGTTGAAAGCTCAGGGGAACGAACAATGACATAAACATACAAAAACTCGGAGGTCCGCGCGGATTTCTCGGATCGGCGCTGGGCCCCCTGACGGCGTCTCCAGCGCCGCCCCTGGCGCGCTCCGCGCGCCAGGGAAGGGGGTCCAGCGCGGATCCAACAAATCCGCGCGGACCGCCGAGTTTTTATGTCTATGTCATTTTTCGGTTCCCTGAAGCTTCTCGAGCGGGGCGCGGCCACCGAAAGTGGCAAAGGATGGGCCGAAGGGGCAGGGACGCAAGGGTACCCTTGGGAAGGTTGTCCATCCTCACTATGCAGGTCGGTTGTACTCCTCCCACCCATTCTACTCCTTCCCCTCCTGACCTTAACTCAACAAAACTGAACACGCATCGGGAGAGAAGACAGAGGGGGGAGCACCAGGAAGGAGGGGAAGGAGCCCAGGAGGAGCACAGAGAGGACGACGACGATGACGACGACGAAGACAACGACAACGACGACGACGACGATGACGACGACGACGACGACGACGACGACGACACCGACGACACCGACGACAACAACAACAACAACAACAACAACAACAACAACAACAACAACAACACAACAACAACAACAACAACAACAACAACAACAACAACAACAACAACAACAACAACAACAACAACAACAACAACAACAGCAACAGCAACAGCAACAGCAAACGCAACAGCAGCAACAACAACGATGACGACAACGACGAAACCGTGGGCGACGAAAGAAACAGACGGCGACGACGACAAAAGACGATCGATGCCCGAAGCAGACGCGGCCCTCCCCGCGCGGCCTCGCGGAACAGGCACGAGCCGCAGGCGCTCACGAGGACGTCGTTGGCGGCGCGGACAGCGCTGCCGCCGTTGAGCCACCTCCGCGGCAGGATCATGCCAGCATCGCACTAGGAAATCGGATCGAATCGAGGCTCCTCCTCGTCCTCCCCCTCCTCCGCCTCCCCCTCATTGTCCTCCTCCTCGCCATCATCACCACCATCATCAGCAACAACGACAGCGACAGCGACAACAACAACAAGAACAATAGCAAAAACAACAACAACATCAAAACCAAACAAACAAACAAACAACAAAAACAAACAAACAAACAAACAAACAAACAACAACAAACAACTACAACAACAACAGCCACAACAACAACAACGGCAACAACAACAACAACAACAACAACGACAACAACAACAACAACAACAACAACAACAACAACAACAACGACAACAACAACAACAACGACAACAACAACAACAACAACAACCACAGCAACAACAACAACAACGACAACAACAGCAGCAGCAGCAGTAACCCCATCACCATCACCATCATCAGAATCATCATCATCATCATCATCAGCATCGTCATCATCAGGAGAAGCATCCCCGTCATCTCTTTCATCATACCCCTCTTCCTTCTCCTCCTCGTTCACCATAATCATCATCATCATCATCACCACCATCAGCATCACCATCATCATCATCAGCAGCAGCATCATCATCGTCATTATCCGCATCCCCGTCGTCGTGATGATCATCATCACCACGACCACCACCACCCTCATCCCTTTCATCATCATCAGCAACAGCATCATCCCCTCCATCATCATCAGCAGCAGCATCATCATCATGATCATGATGATGATGATCATCATCCTCATCCTCATCCACATCCTCATCCTCATCCTCATCGGCCTGCTCCTTCTCCTCCTTTCCTCCCTTTTCCAGAATCAGGCCAGCATCGAATCGGCAGATCGGATTGAATCGGTCGATAAGAGCTTAATTCTGCCGTCCCTAGACTCGGGCTAAATAGGCCACGATTTGCTCCAGACTTCCCTGGAGTCCCTGCATTTACTTCTATGTATCTGGATATACCTGGGTTTACTTGAATTTACCGCGACCAATTTGGCCTGAAACCTACGAGTATGTTGGCGAAAAGTCGTCAAGCCCTTCGAGAATCGAGGCTCCTCGTCCACCTCCTCCTCCTCTTCCCCTTCCTCCTCCACCTCCTCCTTCTCCTCATCCTCCTCCACATTATCATCATCCTCATCATCATCATCCTCCACCGCCCCCTCCTCCTCCTCTGCCCTCCACCTCCTCCTCCTCCTCCTCCTCCTCCTCCTCATCATCATCATCATAATCAGAATCAGCATCATCATCAGCAGCATCAGCATCAGCATCAGCATCAGCATCAGCATCATCAGCATCATCATCCATCATCATCATCATCATCATCATCATCATCATCATCATCATCATCATCATCATCATCATCATCATCATCATCGTCATCATCATCGTCATCGTCATCATAATATTCGTCCTCCTCCTCCTCCTCGTCCTCCTCCATTCCTTCTCCGTATGAATACATCCTCCCTGTCGCACCCCGAGGCCGGTGGGAAGCGCGGGCCTGGCGTTTCGCCTGGTAGTTCCATACCACTCATTACCCTGCAGGTTCAAAATTGGCAGCCGTTTCCAAAGATGGAAGGCGGGTTTCTTCCAACATGTGCTTCTCGCCGTAGTTCCGCGTACACTCTGTTTCAAATGTACAAGATGCTCACAGATTGAGGGCGGGTGGTTTTCAAAATGTAATTGTCGTCTGGGCGCCGCACACCTTCGTTTTGAAAACTTAGTAAAGCTACCCAGATTGAGGGCGGGTGGCTTTCAAAAGTGTAGCTCTCGCCTTAGCTCCGCGCACTTTCACTGTAAATATTTGCAGGAGCTTCACGGATGGCGTTTTTAGAATCGCAATCGTTTCACGGATTCTCATAGTTAACGTACAAGAGGTGGCGTTCTGGAACGGCGTGGGATTGCCAGGGCGCAACAGCTACGTTGATTCGCTGCGGCGAAGTCCCAGGAATGGTCTTCTCGCACGATTCGGGATCTTCGAAACGCAGCAACAAGGTTGATTCGTTGCATTGAATTCCAAAGAATGGTGCTCTGACGCGGTTCAGGACTTTCAAGCGGTTGTCCCCCAACAGGGCACTTCCTTCAGTGGAGATGAACCCTTCTAGGGCCTCATGAACGAAGAACTTGGATGAAGGGTTTCTGGCAACATCGTTGATGAATCTTGGGTTGACACTGGTCCCCTTCACCTCGTCATCCTCCTCATCCTGCTCCTCCTCCTCCTCCCATTCCTCCTCCTCCTCTTCCTCCTCTTCTCTCTGCTCCTCCTCCCCCTCCTCCTCACATTCCTTCTCCTCCTCCTCCTCTTTCTCCTCCTCCTCCTCCTTATCCTCCTCCTCTTCCTTCTCCGCCTCCTCCTCCTCGCCCTTCTACTCCTCCTCGTCCTCCTCCACCTCCTCATCCTCCTCCGCCTGTTCCTGCTCCTCCTCCTCCTCATCCTCCTCCTCATTATCCTCATCCTCCTCATGCTCATCCTCCTCCTCTTCTTCCTCGGTATCTTCTGACAGCATGAAGGCTCCGCAGATGTTGCCCTCCCCAACAAGGCTGGTCGGCTTTGGGGTTGATCAAACAAATGAGCAAGGCGACTCCTGAAGTGTTCACTCCAGGAGTCGTTGGCTGGCCTGTTGGGCTAGGGGCAAACTGTTGAGGATCATGACTCTGGTAAGAGCGATCTGTCCGAATGCATCTGTAGTAGGTAGTCCTGCAGCACTGTTCTGCGCGAAGGCCGCGGCTCATCGCTTCTGTTCGATGAGCTTGATATTCTTGGGGCCGTTGGGCGGCGACTCCGAAAACGGCCTTCAGACCGCGTGAACTCTCCGCACCCATAACATTCTTGACCGCGTTGGCGATGTGGTCGTTGTGCTCCTGGGCGGCGTCCTTCTCTTTGGGCGCATCGTCTTGTTCCGCCTGTGTCGTTAAAGGCTTAACGACTTCTGCCGTCCTTCGACTCGCACTGGAGCGGCCGCGAGTTGCTCAAACTTTCCCTGGAGATCTATGGACTTACCTGGATCAACCTGGATTCATCTCGATCTACCTGGACTTACCTGGGTGTACCTCGATGTATCTGCATTTACCTGGATTTATCTGGCTCGATCCTCACAAGTCGATTGGCGAAAAGTCGACAAGCCCTTAGGGACTGTGCCTTCGCATCCCCAGCGCCTTTGTTGTCACTGTGGTTACCCATGCGGCTGCGGCCGCCAGGCTCGCCTGTCGCCGTCGTAGTGTATAGAAGGGAAGGCTTCTCGCTGCCCGTGCCGCCGCTGCCCTCGCCGTGGTACGGTAGGAGCTTGACCACAAGAAACCCGACCCTGAGCCCGCAGGAAGTCCGTCGATTTTTGGTGTGGGAACGCCACGCTCGCCATAGCAAAACCAAGACCATCGGGACCCAAGAAGCCCAGAGCACCCTGGAGGCAAGCAAAGTACGTCTTGGAATGGGTTTCCACTGCAGCCGTTGCTCCACCAGGAGTCGGAGTGGTCATTGCCCCAACGCTCCGCCAATGGGTTCTTCTTTCAACGCTCGAGGCCTTCTGCAGTCGCCGGTGGAGTGGGGCCTGGCGTTGGTCCTCTGCTTCGGTTGCGACTCGAGATTGGTAGGCCAGGGTGGTGGCCTGGCTTCCGAGCCACTCGCGGTTGATCCCCATGGCGCAGCCATTGTGGGGAGAAGAGGATGTCGCGGTGGTTGTCGTGCGCTGCAATGCACTTGAACTAGTTGTTGTGCGACGTGGATATGAAGCTGCGTATATTGATCGAGTGGTGGTCGTGCAAATGTGACACGTGGTAGTAGTAGTAGTAGTAGTAGTAGTAGTAGTAGTAGTAGTAGTAGTACTAGTAGTACTAGTAGTACTAGTAGTAGTAGTAGTAGTAGTAGTAGTAGTTAGTAGTAGTAGTAGTAGTAGTAGTAGTAGTAGTAGTAGTAGTAGTAGTAGTAGTAGTAGTAGTAGTGGTAGTAGTAGTAGTACTAGTAGTGGTAGTGGTAGTAGTAGTAGTAGTTGTTGTTATAGCTGTTGTAGTAGTAGTAGTAGTAGTAGTGATCGTAATAGTAATAGTAAAAGTAGTAGTGAAAGAAATAGTAATACTACTAGTAATAGTAATAGTAATAGTAATAGTAATAGCAATAGTAATAGTAATAGTAATAGTAATAGTAATAGTAATCGTAATAGTAATAGTAATAGTAATAGTAATAGTAATAGTAATAGTAATAGTAATAGTAATAGTAATAGTAATAGTAATAGTAATAGTAATAGTAATAGTAAGTAATAGTAATAGTAATAGTAATAGTAATAGTAATAGTAATAGTAATAGTAATAGTAATAGTAATAGTAATAGTAATAGTAATAGTAATAGTAATAGTAATAGTAATAGTAATAGTAATAGTAATAGTAATAGTAATAGTAGTAGTAGTAGTAATAGTATAAGTAGTAGTAATAGTAATAGTAATAGTAATAGTAATAGTAATAGTAATAGTAATAGTAATAGTAATAGTAATAGTAATAGTAATAGTAATAGTAATAGTAATAGTAATAGTAATAGTAATAGTAATAGTAATAGTAATAATAGTAATAGTAATAGTAATAGTAATAGTAATAGTAATAGTATAGTAGTAATAGTAATAGTAATAGTAGTAGTAATAGTAATAGTAATAGTAATAGTAATAGTAATAGTAATAGTAATAGTAATAGTAATAGTAATAGTAATAGTAATAGTAATAGTATTAGTAATAGTAATAGTAATAGTATTAGTAATAGTAACAGTAATAGTAATAATAATAATAATAGTAATAGTAATAGTAATAGTAATAGTAATAGTAACAGTTATAGTAATAGTAATAGTAATAGTAATAGTGATAGTAATAGTGATACGAATAGTAACAGTAATAGTAATAGTAATAGTAATAGTAATAGTAATAGTAATAGTAATAGTAATACTAATACTAATACTAATAGTAATAATAATAGTAATAGT